GATGGTAACGATAACCCTATATGCAAAACAGAAAAAGAGACACAGATGTACAGAAGCTGTGGTTTTTCTATTAGTCACATATGTATATGAGAGTTGGACCATAAAGAAAGCTGAGCACTGAAGAGCTGATGCTTTTGAACTGTGGTGATGGAGAAGACTCTTGAGAGTCCCTTGGACTGCAAGGAGATCCAACCAGTCCATCCTAATGGAAATCAGTCCTGAATATTCATTGGAAGGACAGACTGAAACTGAAGCTCCAATAGTTTGGCCACCTGATACGAAGTGTGGACTCATTGGAAAAGACCCTGATTCTGGGAAAGATTGAGGGCAAGAGGAGAAGAGTACAGCAGAGGATGAGACAGTTAGAAAGCATAACTGCTCATTTTATCACTGAGTGCTAATTATTCCTCAATAAAACAGCAGGAAAAATGTATTATTGTTATTGTTTAGTTGCTAAGTCCCGTCTGCCTCTTTTGGGAAGCCATGCATTAAGCAGCTGAGGGTAAGGAGAGGCAGCCCTTTCACCTAAACATCCAATGGCTGCCTAATCCCACCAAGAAATTCACCAGCCTCACCCCTACTATGCCCCCATCAGTACTCCAAAATAGTTAGGGGACCTGGAAAAATTCCCCACTGGCCGACTGATGGGACTTCACTACTCTATCACATGAGCGCACCTCACACTGTGTGAGTGTGCTCAGTCACACTCATGTTCAACTCTGCGACCCGATGTGCTGTAGCCCACCAGGCTCCTCTGTCCACGGAGTTTTCCAGGCAAGAATCCTGGAGCAGATCTCCATTTCCCTCTTCAGGGAATCTTCCCAAACCAGGGATAGAACCCGTGTCTCTTGGGTCTTCTTGCATTGGCCAGCGGATTCTTTACCACTGAGCCACCAGGGAAGCTCCTGAAAAATGTGTTACTTTTAAATGAATCAATAAAGTACAAACAATATACATTTAAATAATTCTCAACTTCGTGTGATAATGTAAGGAGCCTGCGGAAAGGACTTCCACACTAGGTGAGAAAAGTTTACAGTTTATCAAAATATGTGAAATAACTTTTTAAAATTAATTCATTTATTTTAATTGGAGGCTAATTACTTTACAATACTGTGGTGGTTTTTGCCATTTTTTTGAAAAAAAAAATAAGAGAATAATCTGTACACAGCTCCACAGCCCTTATGGGACTTTATGCTATGAATTGTTATGGGCATGCTGGGTGGACACCAGGAATGATTTCTATTCAAGTTGACTTCAAAATATAGTGAAAAACTTGGTATTTCCTGTTTGAATTATTTATTAGTAATGCTGGCTAAAATGCTCATAGACCTTTTTCAGTTGGAATTTGCTTCCTTGTAAAGTGTTTTAGATATCACAATAAAGTTTGATTTTCGTTTCAAAATTTATATGCAAACCACAAATAGCCTCACATATTTCATGACAATTAAGTAAGGCTAGCAATTATTATAATAATTGAACTAATACTTTATAAGAAAGCATAATTATGAAGTAAAGGCAGCTATTAATCTGTATACAATTTTGAAAATTAGGTAATAAGTTTAAGCATATGATTTTAAATCATTTTAATTTTATATATTTTTCTATGAATATATTAGTTATAAACAAAGATATATTTACTAAGAAAAGGATAATAAATGGTAGTATTAATTTTATTCCCATGAAAGTTTAGCTTATATACATATCCATTAAAGTAATATTTATAGAATTTTTACTGTTGAAAAGGTTCTATAATGATGAAAAAGAATATATTCAAGGCAACAAAAAAGAAGAAATAATAATTTTTTACAAACATACAAAAAGAAGAAATTTTACATACTGGTTTTCTCTATAATTAATGCTATGAAAGTCTAGCTAACTTTATGGTAAAACTCTACACCAAATAAGAATGCATAAAAAAAGAGTGGTAATGTAACTTGTGTTATTGAAATAATATCTTTCTCCAAAACACTTAACTGGCTCCAAACAAAATCTATAAAATTATAATTTAGGTCATACAAAGTTATAAATAAATTATTGTATGGAAATAACATGAAAATGTTTTATGATTTTTATCATATAAATTAAGGATCAATGAACCATTTCTGTAAAGGGTCAGATACTTACTATTTTGGGGCTTACAGGCCACATACGATCTGTCATATAATCAGCTAAAACATATAAAAACATTCTTGTCTTGAGGTCTGTACATAAACATATGGATTGAGTCCACAGGCCATAACTTACTGATCCTTGATATAGACCATTAATAACCATACTATATCATAAAAATGCTAGCATAGTTATTTTAAAAGTTCAAATCTTTTCTTTTTACAATTGCCAAATTAAATTCTGTTCCTGTTTATTATCACACATACCAATGCCAAGGGTGCTTGTCAGGCAGTTCTCACCAATATGAAGGAGAGTGGCTCTCTTTTTTCCTCCCTCCTGACTATTCACTCAAACCCACTTACTCCTCAAGGATGAGGTCCATATTAGAGTTACTTTAAAGTTAAACTCAGCCACCCAGAAATCATTATGCTCTTGACAATTCTTAGATCCATGTGCTAATCATAAGAATACAGAATTAAGTCCTTCAGAAGTGGTTGTGTCTTGTAAAACACACAGAATGTCTTTTTAAAGGAGAGATAAAGAGCTATCCTAAAACAAAAGGCCTGTGTTTTCTCTTTCTGGAATTTCTTCTTTCGATCCCTGAACTTGCAATTCAGACCAGCCACCAGTATATAGACACATTTGTATGAAGGCAACATGGATGTTTTCAAGATTAAACAGCTACACTGCATGCCTGTTGAGTATATATTCATATTTGTGTGTGTGTGTGTGTGTTCATACCTGCCAACCTCTTAGAAGTTTAAAATCAAGTAATTTCTAATTTTATCCATGTAGTAGGCTACAGCAAAACTCAAAATCTTCAGAGAAATAAATTTTGCTTTAGATCAAAGGAATTTCAATGGTTGAGAAAATTTCAAGCTGGAGCCATTGCAGTTATATTAATAAATCCATTTTTTTCCCTTGAAGTAGAGAATGACAGAGTTTCAGAAGAGTTCCTTAAGGTGTTTTGTTTTTAATAGAGGCCAAGATATATGGATTCTAAATGCTCTTTCTTAAAAATAATTTAATTACTCGCTTGTCCTCTGGACAAAGTTCAAACTTCTAAACATGGTTTGTACTGGGGAATTCCTCTTTAAACTAATATTTGATTTGAGCTTGTACATTTTGCCCCTTCTCCCCTTTCTCAAATGTTGTCCTTGATATTAATCTCCCTGCCCCTCATTTTTTTTTTAAAAATTAAGTTTAGCTGATTTATAATATTGTTTTAATTTTAGGTGTACAGCAAAGTGATTCAGTTATGCATACATATTTTTTTCAGGATATTTTCCATTATAGGCTATTACAAGATTCTGTACATCTTCTGTTATATAGTGAATTCTCGTTGCTCATCGATTTTATATAGTAGTTTGTATCTGATAATGCCATGCTCCTAATTTATCCCCCGCCACCCTGACTCCCTTTCCCCTTTGGTAACTCTAAGTTTGTCTCCTATGTCTGCGCTTCTGTTTCTGTTTTGTATATACATTCATTTGTATTATTTCAGATTTCACATATAAGTGAAATCATAAAATATTTATCCTTCTTTGTCCTCTCTGTCTTCTTTATCCTACTTCACTTAGTATGATATTCTGTAGGTCCATTCATGTTGCTGCAAATGTCAATTTTTTATGACTGAGTAATAATACCCCACTGTATGTGTGTGTGTATATATATATACACCACATCATAAGTCTGTTGACTGGCACTTGGGTTCCTGTCATGTCTTGGCTACTGTAAATTAGTGCTGCCATGAACATCGGGATGCATGTACCTTTTCAGTTTAAGGGTTTTCATCCTTTCCAGATACATGCCCAGGTATGGGATTGCTGGGTCATATGGTAGTTCTAGTTTTCATTTTTAAAGGAACATCCATACTGTTTTCCATAGCGACTGCACCAATTCACATTCCCACCAACAGGGTATGAGGGTTCCCTTTTCTTTCAGAATGTATTATCTGCAGGCATTTTGATGATGTCCATTCTGACTGATGTGAAGTGATACCTTATTGTGGTTTTGATCTGCATTTCTCTAATAATTAGTGATGTTGAACATCTTTTCATGTGCCTCTTGGCCATCTGTATGTCTTCTTTGGAGAAATGTCTTATAAGGTTTTCTGCTCATTTTTTATTGGGTTGTTTGTACATTTTGGATATTAAATCTTTGTTGATCAAGTCATCTGCAAACATTTTCTCCCATTCCACTGATTGCCTTTTTGTTTTCTTTATGGTTTCCTTTGCTGTGCAAAAGCTTTTAAGCTTGATTAGGTCTCATTTGTTTATTTTTGCTTTTATTTCTTTTGCCTTGAGAGCCCCTATTCCCTGTCTTAAATGTGGTCTTGTATTTCTATATATGATCTTCCACTATCACCTTCTTGCCTCAAGCTTCACTTTTGCCTTGTTTAGGTCAGTGTCAAACCACACTGCCCTCCACGTTCCCAGGTCTGAGACCTCCGGTTGCTGCCATTCCCACGGCCGCTATCAATGCTCCTGGCTGACTCAAGGTCTCAGGATGTGGCTTTGAAATACCAGCACTTGGGACATTGGGGCATGGGGGTGGGCTCAGTAGGAACAGGGACTGTTAACCTATTACTGCTCCTCTGGCATACATGAGCATAGCAGAACTGGAGAGTCAACGAAAATGGCTACATAGCAAGTGGAATCTTCCGAATGTGGAAATAGAAAATCCCGCAGCTCACCAGGGTGTTCTCCTTGATAGGGCTGAATGAGGAAGATTTCTGCAAGGGGTGTTTGCCAGGGTCAGCCTACCACAGAGTGCCGTTGAGTCTTCAGGACAATAGAGGACATTTTCAAACCCAAAGCGCCAGTGCTTTCGGTGTATTTACACTGACATCACTTGTGCAAACGCCCAGCGATCCGTGGCTGCTCCCCTACCTTGTGCAGCTGGTAGTACTGGGAGGAACCCACTCCACCTTGCTCCTCCGCCGTCCAGAGCACCAAACGCAGAGTTCTCTTTGGACGCAGCCCTGGGAATAATAATAAAACAAGTGATTCTCCAGTTGGTTTTGAATTTAAAAAAAAATGGCAGGGCCTCTCATCTGAATTCTGCAGGAAGGAATGAGAGGCATGCCCTTTCATCTCTTGCTGGTGTGGCTGCCTGATTCACGGTGTGGCTGACCCAGCAGAGGGTCAGGACCCTCAGGGCCAATCTCCAGGGCAGGTTAATGACGAAAGAGATTGTGACGAATGCTGTCTGCAGCCCAGGGAGTGAGAGCCTCTATTCATATTTTTAACTGGACAGCGTACCCAGTAGGACACAACTGATGGCCAAGTTCACTGGGGTACTAGAGTTCATCCAGAAGATGTAGTTAGGAAGACTCTAGGCAGATCCTGAGGCCTTCCTTCCCATGATTAACTAAAACCCAGTGATTAGTCTCTACTTCAAGATAAGGTATGTAAGGGGTTGCTTCTTAGTCTAAATCCACAAGTATAGCCAACTGCCATGCTATCCTTAGTAATGAATGATCACGAAGAAAACACAATGCTGCATTCATTGACTTGGGAAATACAAACTTACATCCTGCAGTCCTTGAAGTTACTGGCAGATCTGGCATATTTAGAACCATTTTTGAGTGATGGTGTCAGCTCCGTAAAAGTTAACTACAAAGGTCAAATAGTAGGATGGGAGTTCCACTTTTTGACCAAGACTGGAAACTTGTTTCTGATTTGGACCTGATGATGTTGTTTCTGAGAAATAATAAGTGCAGAAAAACATGAAACGGGGCTTAAACCTTATTAAGAAGACCTTTCCTCTTGCCTCACTGCAGGGAAGCCATAGGGAAGGACTATGAATGGCTCCGAGGCGGACACAGAACAAACATCAAATATGGCTACCCAGTGCTGCCACTCAGGCACATGGCCTTCTTGGAGGGAGCAGCCTGGGTGACCGCAGCCCGGATGATAAGTGCTCCTGGGAAATGGAGCTCTGTTCCTCCTCCTCTGGACACCGACAGGTATTCTCTTTGCATAAGTCTAGTGCTAAGGTACTGAAAAGGAGCTAAACTTTTTACTAAATGAAACACTGTGAAATGACTTTACACTTGAGCAATTTTGACATCAAACAGCACAGGCTGTTGAGTTCCAACTGTTGAGTTGAGTTGAGACAGGCTGACCTTAGTTCCAATTGAAGCCCAGAAAAGCAATTTCCACATCCAGTTGTTCAGCCGATCCCATTGGTGTTTCTGCTAAGTCTATCTAGAATCCAACCTTTCGCCTCTGTTCCCATGCTGGCCCAAGCCCCACCCATTTTTGTCTGGACTGTTGCAGTCGCCTCTAAGCTGGGCTCCCTGCCACAGTCCATGTCTCTGCAGGTGAGGTCTGCACTGCAGTCAGCAGGCTCCTTGTGGAACATATATCAGAGCATGTCATTTCTCTGTTCAAGACCTCCAAGAGCCACAGTGTAAGCTTCTGGTTCAAGGTGATGCCCCCAGTGCCTAGACTGTTCGGCACACATATTTGGTGCCCAATAAATAGGTACCAAACGAATAAATAAATCCAAGGTGTGGTGTCTTAGAGTAAAATTCAAAGCTCTCTATCACTATCGCAGCCTCATCTCCTAAAACTTTCCTGCTAGTTCATTTTCCAGGCAAAGTATTACAGTTGAAAAATGTGGACAGATCTGCTAAGCCCCGCTATCAACAAGCACCAGCTGTGTAACCACTGAGACATTTTTCCACCTGAACTTCAGCTTCCTTATCTGAAGAGTGGAGGGAATATTACATGTTCATAACATAACAATTTCCCAGGGTGGCTGTGAGGATGAAACGAGATGTGATGATGTATGTAAGACACTCTGTATCTGGCATGCAGCAGACACTCAGTGAACGAATTATAAAACTACATAATGGATAGCCAGGCACAGAGCATATGCTTTTACCCAGAGAGAGAAGGAGCATCTAAACACTCAGTACAGACAATCTTCCAAAGTCATTCAAGTCCCTGCTGAAGAAGAATCCTGAAGGGCCCGCTGCCTGCTCCACAAACTGCCTACTCACCTTCATAGCACAAAATGTTGTTGGAGAAAGAAACCTAATCAGTCTATCTAAAGATCACAATCATTGGCTCCTCCAACAGAAATGTGCTTAATGTCAATTTCAACCAAACGACATTTTGCTTGCAACATAGAAAAAAGTAAAAGAAAACAGGATAAAGTGCTGCAAATGAAAATTCTGAATCTTTTTTTAAACCCATAAAAAAGGGGAAAAAAACTTTCTGTTTACATATCTCTGCCTTTACCAGTGAAACAGTACCAAATTATTAAAATGATGGAATTCTCTAAATAAGGATCAAGTGACAGTTTAGCACGAGTTAGAGAAAAATTAATATTTCAAAGCAAATGCTCTGAATATTCCCATAGACTTGGTGTTCTAACTTGCAAATCATTGCTATATGGGATTAGTCTCCCTCACATTTCAAATGAGCCAGGTGGCCAGTGATGTTCCATTAAGATAACAAAACAGTGGTCTGTTTGAAGTGAGGAGAGCTAAAACCTGCAAACAGCAACAGCATAGCCAGTGCACAGCTGACCCTGAGGAGACAAAGAGAGTCCCCCAGCCCCACTCAGTCCTGGAGAAATTCAGTCCCCATTCTACTCCACAGTCGAGGTGAAGGCCCAACAGAAGAGGTTAGGAAACCAGCGGTTAAGCAGATACCGACTGGTCTGCAAAGTCCCTTTTCTGCTCTGACCTTTCAATTGCCCCCAGAACCTAAGACAAAGGGACTTCACTCAGCCCTAGACCCTACCTCTAGCCTGGAGTTTGGGCTCCCAGGCCACCTGAGGCCACAGACGGGCAGTGTGGGGGATGGAGAGGTGCTGGCTGCGGGATCTCAATAAACTCGGGGTCCCTGCTCTGACCCTTCTGGCTCTGTGACTTTAGAGGACTTGCCCAATCTCTCTGAGCCTCGGTTTCTTCATCTACACAGTAAGGAAAAGGGTAATTGCCTCATGGCCTTGTTAAGAAAATTAAATGAGACCAGGCATTTAAGTAAATATGAATCACAGTTCCTGGCACACAGTAGGCTTTCAAGAATCGTGTGTTAGCTTCCCTCTACATCACTCCGCGAACTTCAGCCTGTGCCAGTGATTTCCAGGGAGCGCCTGAGAGAGAACAAGGAAAGAGGCATCTTCCTCGTTCCTCTTCCCTAGGAGCCACAGGACATCTTTGTTTACACAGAATGCACTTGCAGCCAAGGGGAAGATACAAGTTTCATCTAGCTTGTGGAAAAACACAGAACCTCTTTCAGCTTGTGGAAAAACACATATTCAGTGGAATATGCCCTCATTCCAACACAGAGCATATCTACCTCCAAGTAAACAGAAGTTGTTTCCTCGCTTTAAAAACTGAAGACAATCAGAATTTTTAGTTTCTGGATAAAGCAAAAAACAAAAACAAAAACAAAAAACAAACCACAACACAATAAATCTGAAAGCTGAGTGACGTTGATACAAGGGATGTCTATATTTATCATTTTTAAATAACAGAATTTCTTATGTATCTCAAATTCAAACTGGTTTTAAAAGCTGGGAATTTTAAGTATATAAAGTAACAAAAATAACAACAACAATAGTAAAGCACTAATACTGACAGCAACACAACAAAGTGATTCAAGGTCCAGGGCAGGGCTCTCATCTTGCAGCACAACGAGGGTAAATGAATAGCTCCGCAGGAGTCTGAGCTCACAGCTCTGGCCCTGGCTCAGTGGTTCACAGCGCCAGACTAAGGCAAGCACAGGAAATAAGTCTTTGAGCTGAGAGGAAGGGCTCTGGGCTGAGCAGGCTCGGAGTCAGGTCTCATCAAGGTTTTCTCAAAAGATAAGCAATTAGTTCCCCCATAAATGTAACAAAACCTGCCCAGAGATCTCTTGACCTCCTGGAATTTTTAATTAAGAACTTCAGAGAGTACAAGAAACATTATATGGCATTACAGTTTTCCTTTAAGAGAACACAGACTATGGCTAATATGTCAGAATTTTGCCTTTGTTTACGAACTATGACATACATGCACTTCATTTTCATTTTATTGAGGAGAGTAATAACACTACTGGGAAAACAGTGTCTATGAGGAAGGGTGAAAATAATCTGGCAGTAGTTTATTTTTTATTGTTATCAAATTTAAAAATAAGAGGCTGATAAACTGGGAAGGTCAACTACACTTGGCTGAAGAGTGAGCCAAAGTTGGATTAATCTACCCTTGGAGATAGATTTTCCAAATTATGAATTCTAAAGAACACTATTTATAAGCAAAGTGTATTAACCCAAATGCCTGTTTACTACTCCGCTTCAATCCTACCGAAACTATGTAAATAGTCTTCTCTGGTCTGAGACCTAATTTTGCAGCATGCGTGCGTGCTAAGTCACTTCAGTAATGTCCAACTCTTTGCGATCCCATGGACTGCAGCCCCCAAGGCTCTTCTGTCCATAGGATTCTCCAGGCCTGAATACTAGAGTGCTTTGCCATTCCCTCCTCCAGGGGATCTTCCCAACCCAGGGATCATACCTGTGTCTATTATGTCTCCTGCATTGGCAGGCAGCTTCTTTACCACTAACAGCACCTGAGAATCCCAAATTTTGCAGAGAAAACACAATTTTCTCTTACAGTAAATATACTCAGTTTCTACATATATGCAGGTTTAGATCATAAATACACTTGTCATCCAGTTCCCCTTTATCAACAATTCAGTATCTGCGTTTAGAGATGTTTAATTCTCAGTGGTAAAGAATAAGTTTGCCAATGCAAGTGACTCAGGTTTGATCCTTGGGTCAAGAAGATTCTTTGGACGAGGAAATGGCAACCAACTCCATTATTCTTCTTGGAAAATCCCATGGATGGAAGAGCCTAGTGGGCTGCAGTCCATGGGGTTGCAAAGAGTTGGCCATGAATGCATCTATTATGCAATTCTGTAATAAACTTGACTAGTATAAGTATAGTATCTAAATTAAACATTAAATAATGACATGTGCTGTGCT